CATGTTCCTTGGACCAAGTGGTGTTGAAGCTTGCAAATGAACTTGCAGATAAGCTGTTTTACGAAGAGAACAACGACGTCAGAATCAACACAAGTGAATACATGGAGTTGCACGGCATCTCAAGTCAGATTAAAAAATTAATAATTAAGAAATTTTTTTAATTGAATAATTAATAAAATTATTTAAGAAAAATAGATTTTTTTCTCATTTACTCTAAAATTAATAAATAAATGGTAAACAAAGAACGATTTTGTTTATGATTGAACTTTTTGCAAAAATATTTTGTAAATTCAAAAATATAAGACTAAGAGGATATTGTTTGAAAAAGACAACATTGTTAGATTGACTCTAAATAACAACGTTGTATCAAGTACTCTATCTATAATATTGTTTACCGACTGCCTCTAATTTTATTAATTAGATTGATTTGAATGAAAATCAATTTGGTGAATAAAAAATACAATAAATAACACAGAGGTTCATTCTGGGACTGACGGAAAAGCACCGGGACGGTATGGTACAAAGTAGCCACACAACTTGGCGTAATAGGAACACGTCTCGTTTTCGTTTCTTGGGAAAAATGGTGTCTGAACATGCCGCGAGATCTCGGACTTTTCGAACTTTTCGAGGTTAAAATTAGTCATAAAAGATGACGGCTTGAATTCTTGCGATTCTGTCAGGTTTGGTTTTTGAGAAAGTGCTTTGAGTGCTATACCATCCAATCCTGGCGTGAATTGGGTGTACAAACACTGAATGGGTGTTTTGAGTGTGTCAAGGTTTATGTGGAGCTTACCTTGAACTGATAAATTTAACCACAGATCACCCTTAATTGGTTGTTTGAGTGCCAACGATGCGTGACCGAGAAAGTCGTCGGTTTTGAATCTATCCCAGTCGTAGATCTCGAAGAGGATAGACGGTAGATTGTGTGGATCGATCATGAACCGGAGTTCTTCATGACATTTGGGGTCTAATGTTCTTTTTTGAATTTTGGTTTGGTGGATTTCCTTGTTGATTGTCACCTTTGTATAAGGGTCACTCTTCTTTGAAAAGCAGTCTGCTGCGGGTAAATTTTGCGCCTCGATTATCGTAAGGCGAAGTAACATCGACTTTTTTTGTTGTTCATATCAATGAAAAAATCAGCGAGAATTGCTATGTTTTTGGGAAGTGAACATGTTATTATGTTCGACATTCGCTAAAAGTGATTTTTATTTATTTGGGAACAAAGACGATTTGAAAGAGGCTTATATCAACTATATTTTTTAAATAAACAAACCATATTTTTATTCACGTAAATTAAAAAACATTTGAATATAAAAAAAAACTAAAAAATAATTAAAAAATAACTATTAACAAAGTTATTTAATGTGTAAGGTTATATGAATCGTTTTTGAGTTATGTGAAAGCAAATTTGATCAATCCGATACAATTTGTTGAAGCGCAATATTGTGTGTATGTGTACATATACAACAAACTTATATTTATTTACACAATAAATTATTTCTTATCTTTTGCACTTCCTATCAAAATGATATTAATACTGTTTTCGGATAAAAACACTTTATATTTATAATTTGTTTTGTGTTTTCACATGGTTTCATCCACAATAATCTATGTACAAACTCTATTACATCTACATTTATATGTATATAAATGTAATAATATTTTTTAGTTTATTATTTTTTTATTTTACATTTTAATAATGAAACTTTTAGTATGATTATTATTCGTTATAAATACTTTATAGATATATTGCATTCGATTTGAATTTTTTAAAAGCAACAACTCCAAATTGACTCGAAAAGCAAAATAACTTGAAAAAGAATGGAGAATCCACTCAATGCGTTTTCGTCAGAATCAACAGTAAAAACAGCACCACTTGAAAGTGAACTTGAAAGTTCGCTTTCAAGTTCACTAATATTTTAAGAATCATTTATAAATTCATCTATATATTCATCTGTATTTAACACGTTAGATTTATTTTGTTTTTTTTCATCCACGAAAAATTAACCAAAATATTCATTTTGCCCCACAACAAACAGAAAAATGGGAAATAAAAAATAATATATTAAATAGTAAAATATGCTTACATTTAAATATTGAATTTCAAAAATGATAATTAAATATTTAAATATTTAAATAATTATGAGTTGTTGATTGTTGTTTTATTCATATTTATTATTATACTTAATAACTATTATGCATCTTAATCAGAATATCATACAACAAATACAATCAGTTAATTTTTCAGCGACTTCTGTTTTATACTAATATTATTCGGCGGTTTTCAATAAAACCCAAAAAGTCACAGACTAGCTATTACTGTCAAGTTCCGTTCTAATTCAAAAAGCACCATCTGTAAGTATTCAAATAATAACAGATCTGAATATACTTACAAGCAATTTATCTAAACATTATGTAATTGTTTTTTATTTTTTTAAAAACACAAAAACAAAACAAAATAAAACAAAATGGATTGCGAAACAAACATAATAATAGATGAAGACGAAATGTTTTCAGACGATGAAAAAGAGAATTTTGAGAAGTTGACAATTGATGTGGGAAACCCCTTTTTGATGACCCATCAACAACAAGATGCAGAGTCTCTAATAGAAACAACTGGCTTGTCCACTATAACTGAACTTTCACAACAATGTGTTTCTTCCTCTCAGCTTGTTTTCTCGGCCGCTTCACAAATTTCTTCGTCCCAATTTACCAATTCAACGGCCTCAACTCAGCCATTGATTTATTCACAACAAATAGTTTGGTTTTCATGATTGAAACTATGGTAATTTAATTGGTTTTTATTTACAAAAGTTAAAATGTTCAAAACAAAAGTTATAAATAGCAAAGCTCAATACCCACAATTGATTGGAAAAAAAGAACAGTTTCTGATGATTTTTTTGATTTGAGAAATTAAATCAGAGTGCAGAAACTCAAATGGGATTTTGATGAAAAAATATTGAAAAATCCTTTAAAATTTTCTTTCATTATTTATCACATGATATAATTACAATAATTGTAAATGGAATCAATCAAAAATCCTATGAAGATACGAAACGTAAGACTGTTTTTCAACCAACAAACTATAATGAAGTTTTGGCATTTGTGGGAGTGCTAATTTATTTGGCAAGTATACGATGGCAAAATTCTCTCGAAAACGCATTTGATAGTGAAATTGGTGTTGATTTTGTTCAAATGTGTTTTAAAAAATCGCGTTTTGCCCAATTGTTCCGCTATTTTAGATGTGACGATAAAGAACAACGTAAAGATATTCTAAAAATAGGTGAGCACCAGGTTGGTATTCTAAAAATAACACAAATTTTTGAAAAAAAATTGCAAAACGTGTGTTTTCCTGGTGAATTGCTGTGTATTGACGAAAGAATGTGCAAATTTCTTGGACGTGCACATGACGTTATTTTTAATCCAAACAAACCAATTCGTAGAGGTTTCGAATATCTTTTGATTGTTGACACAAAAACAAACATTTGTGTTAATATGTTCCAATATTACAAAGGATGTATTAACTCGAATGGTCACATCGGGAGAAATTTGGCAGATAAGTTAATTGAGATTGTCAAAAAAGAAAATGAAAATGATGTTCTAAAAATACAAATGGATTCACGTTTTATCGAAACTGAACACCTTGCAATATGGAAGGCACAAAGAGTGGAAGTTATTGGGACTGTACGCAAATAAAAAATTTTACCGGAAGGATGGGACCAAACACTAACGGATAATGAAATGAAATTAAAAATAATACAAAAGGGAATAAAAGAAGCAGAGAAAGCAAAAAATGAAGAAAACAAACAAAAAACGATAAAAACACACAAAAAGAAAAAATACATTGAAGAGACAACAGAAGATGTACAAAATCGGGAAAATAAAATAAAAGAACTAGAAGAAATTATTGATAAAGAAAAGAAAGACAATCCTTCATTTAACAAATTTTGGGAAAGTTCTCTAATTGTTCTAAACACTTTTAACCCCAACAAAACAAAAACTGTATCAATAGCAACTACATTCCTTGAAAACTCGGGATTTTGGGAACAGTCTACAAATAGAAAAAAGACAACTATGAACAATGTTTACAACAAAATGAAATATCCAGTCGATATTTTTAATATTTTTGTGCAGAATATCCTGTTCCTTTCCGTTCTTATTGTTGTATATTTGCACTTTTCAAAAATATAGTGGAGATGTCAATGACAAATAGTTTCGTTGTGAATGGAATTTTCGATGAAAAAAATTGAACATGGCATTTTTTGAGAAATTTGGCCAAACTGTTGTGTTCTGATTATATTGTAGACAATTTCGGGAAAAGAACTGAAATTGAACAAAACCAAAGTCAAATTATTTGGAAAAAGTGTCAAATGGATTTGCTTTGTGATAAAAAAATTGAGGTGCCCAGTATTGACAGCAAAAGCTATGACAAACGTGTTGTTTGTTTTTCGTGTTGTTGTGAGCGAATGAATGCAATGGAGATCGAAGAGGATGCCAATCAATCATCTTTAATTAACGAGAAAAAGAAACCGGGACAGAGAGGAAAGGGAAAGGCAAGGCACTGTGATGTTTCGAGAACGAAGAAAAAATGCTTTGTTTGTAATCGTGGATCTTGTAAAAAACATCTCACTTCTATTTGCAGCTACTGTCTTGGCCAAACGAGCAACCATTAGAACTTTTCGGATGGACTAAAGCTCTGGCGAGCGATAAGAAAGATTAGGAAAACAACACATGACAAGGCTGCGCAAAAAACAAAGTCAGAAAAAATGAAAAAACAGACAGAAAAAACAAATCAACACAACCCATAAGAACAGTTTGTGTTTATCCGATGATCTTAAAATAAACAAGAACCTTTGGTAATTTATTTCTAATTTCCCGTTTTTGTATGCATAAATATTTCCGTTATAAATAAACAACTAAATAATCGGGATTGAATCCTAATTTTAAGTTTTTTTAGAGAAAAAGTTGTGTGGCAAAAAAGTTGTAAATAAATGAAACAGGTTTGGTGATGTTTTTTTTCTTAAGGATAGCAAAATTTTTTTCTTTTAGTTTATAAAAAATGAAAGGGAGTGAAGGAAACGTGTTAAATTATATAATGATTTTAAAGGACAAAGCTAGATATACTTTCCGAACGCTTTATTCATGTAAGATTCCGTCATTTTAGGGAAAATAAAAAATAAAATAATTTTAAAATAAACTCGGTACTATATTTCCGAATTTTGGGTAATTTTGAAAACACGTCCCCCCTCGCGATTTAATTAAAGTATTATAAAATATAGATAAAATGAGGCCCCCCCTAAATCCACATAATTTATATACTTCTACAATTTCAATATCGAATAATGTACAATAGATAGTGTTGGATATGTGTCTGAAGAAAATCGATTAATAAGTAAATATTGGTATTTAAAGACAACAATATACATTTTTAATGTCTTATATGTCTTCGTTTGTTATATAATAAGTGGACATGAATAATTCTCGTTTGTTTTAATTCGTTATTTTCGTTTGTCTTTTTTTATCTCAATGTTCAAATACTTTACAATTAGTAATATTCCATTAACCATTAAATAATCACCATACCATCTTGTTTCAACTGGTTTCACAATTCGAAGTAGTGATTTACCATCATTTGTTTGTACTTCTTCAAGCCAATTTTTCATTTGTAAACTTTTTTTAAAAAAATAGTAACTACTCGATGGAGCTTTACTAGAAGTTGGTTATATCTTTTTACTTCTCTTGTGGATCTCTCTGCTATTAGACTAAACGTATGACAAAAATAACCAATAGATGTCTTTCATGAATCTTTGACTGTTTTAATTTTATTAGCAGGTTATCAGTAATAACTACAAAATTATCTTTTAATCTCCAAGTTTCGAAGAACGCTTTTAAATGGTGTTGGATGTTTGCAGGTGTTTTGACTCCTTCAATTTGTGCAATTTCTAACAATATGTTAATTAAAAAATGAAACTTATCTACATAGTACAAAGTTAAAGACATAAACTCTTCTTCGCATATATATGTATTCAAACCATCAATTGTTGTACAAATAAATAATGCTTCATTACACCTGTTTTTGACATTAAGTTCGGCAGCATCAAAC